ACGGGGTTTCACCATGTTGACCAGGATGGTCTCGATCTCTTGACCTCGTGATCCACCCGCCTCGGCCTCCCAAAGTGCTGGGATTACAGGCTTGAGCCACCGCGCCCGGCCACGTTCATCTTCTTTTACACCTTACCAAGAAGGTAAGAAAGTTATACGTTGTTTTTATTTAGGCTAATGCACTAATGGTTTGTTTTGTTGTTTTGTTTTGAGATGGAGTCTTGTTCTGTTGCCCAGGCTGGAGTGCAGTGATGCGATCTTGGCTCACTGCAACCTGGCTTCAAGTGATTCTCCTGACCCAGCCTCCTGAGTAGCTGGGATTATAGGCATAGGCCACCACGCCCGGCTAATATTTTTGGTATTTTTAGTAGAGATGGGGTTTCACCATATTGGCCAGGCTGGTTTCAAACTCCTGCCCTTGTGATCTGCCCGCCTTGGCCTCCCAAAGTTCTGGGATTACAGGTGTGAGCCACCGTGCCCGACCCCTAATGCACTAATGTTTTAAGGATATTGAATTTATTGGCACATCCTCAAATATTAGTTACTTGCATTTTGCTTGCATTAGTGACAACTCAAAAAAGATGATTTCCAATTTAATCAAATAAATAACGAAGAATAGTAAGCTTTGGTACTGTAGGATCTTGCCCAATTGATAAGTTCCCTCTAATGTGCTCTATTGATTATTCTGGTCTGGTCAGAATCTTCCTGCTTGTTGTATGTTCATGTACTCCATCAAGAGGCTGAGTAACATGGTGCATATGCGCCAAGGCTTTGCAATCATGCAGACCCCAGTTGGCTGCTTAATAGCAATGTGACCTGGGACAGCTTACTTACTCATGCTATGTCTCAGTTTCCCATCATGAATTCATTCATTCAACAAATATTTTATTGAGCAAAGATAATATGACACATACTGTTCTGAACATTAGGGATTTATTAATGAACAGAAGTCCTTGACCTTACAAGGTTTACATTCCAGTGGGTTGGCAGAAAATAATAGATATATAGTCAAGTGTTGCTTAACAACGGGGATACTTTCTGAGAAATGCATCATTAGATGATTTCACTGTGTGTGCACATCATAGGGTGTACTTATAAAATCTGGATGGGAGACCTCGCCGGCTTAACGCTCACCTCGGTGTCTGCAGCACCCTCTGCTTCTCTCCCAGGTGATGAAACCCAGCAGCTAGAAATTCACCATGTCTATTCTCAAGATCCATGCCAGGGAGATCTTTGACTCTCGTGGGAATCCCACTGTTGAGGTTGATTTCTTCACTGCAAAACGTCTCTTCAGAGCTGCTGGTTAGCAAGACACTGAACATCACAGAACAAGAGAAGATTGACAAACTGATGATTGAGATGGATGGAACAGAAAATAAATATAATTTTGGTGCGAACGCCATTCTGGGGGTGTCCCTCGTCATCTGCAAAGTTGGTGCTATTGAGAACGGGGTCCCCCATACTGCTACATTGCTGACTTGGCTGGCAACTCCGAAGTCATTCTGCCAGTCCTGGTGTTCAATGTCATCAATGGTGGTTCCCATGCTGGCAACAAGCTGGCCATGCAGGAGTTCATGATCCTCCCAGTGGGTGCCACAAACTTCAGGGAAGCCACGCATATTGGAGCAGAGGTTTACTACATCCTGAAGAATGTCATCAAGGAAAAATATGGGAAAGATGCCACGAAAATGGGGGATGAAGGCAGGTTTGCTCCCCAAATCCTGGAGAATAAAGAAGGCCTGGAGCTGCTGAAGACTGATTAGGAAAGCTGGCTACACCGGTAAGGTGGTTATTGGCATGGACGTAGTGGCCTCCATTTCTTCAGGTCTGGGAAGTATGACCTCACCTTCAAGTCTCCCAGTGACCCCAGCAGTTACATCTCACCTGGCCAGCTGGCTGACCTGTAGAAGTCCTTCATTAAGGACTACCCAGTGGTGTCTATCCAGGATCCCTTTGACCATGATGACTGGGGAGCTTAGCAGAAGTTCACGGCCAGTGCAGGAATCCAGGTAGTAGGGGATGATCTCACAGTGACCAACCCAAAGAGGATTGTCAAGGCCACGAATGAGAAGTCATGCAACTGCCTCCTGCTCAAAGTGAACCAGATTGGCTTCGTGACCAAGTCCCTGCAGGCGTGCAAACTGGCCCAGGCCTGTGGTTGGGGCATCGTGGTGTCTCATCATTCTGGGGAGACTGAAGATACCTTCAGCGCTGGCCTGGTGGTGGGGCTGTGCGCTGGGCAGATCAAGACTGATTCCCCTTGCTGATTTGAGCACTTAGCCAAGTACAACCAGCTCCTCAGAAATGAAGACGAGCTGGGCAGCAAGGCTAAGTTTGCCAGCAGGAACTTCAGAAACCCCCTGGCCAAGTAAGCTGTGGGCAGGCCAGCCTTTCAGTCACCTCTTGGCTAATTAGACCCCTCCCCTCGTGTCAGCTCAGGCAGCTCGAGGCCCCCGGCCAACACTTGCAGGGGCCCTGCTAGTAGCTCCACTTGCCCACTGCTGTGGAGTTCACACTGCTTCCTTAGAACTTCTACAGCGGCCAAGCTCCCTGAAGCTGGGCAGTTCTAGCTTTGCAGTCGCGTAACTGGCCCAAATCATTGCTTTTCTCGCCTCACTTTTCACCAAGTGTCTGGAGCCATGTGAGCCTCCAGTGTCACCTCTGGGGTGGCCACAGGCAAGATCCCCAGTGGTTTTGTGCTCAAAATAAAAAGCCTTAGTGACCCATGGGGAAAAAAAAAAATCTGGATGGTACACCTACGCTATATTGTATAGCCTACTACTTCTGTTAGGCCACAAATCTACACAGCATGCTACTATACTGAATACTGTAAGCAGCTGTAACACATGGTTAAATATTTGTATATCTAAACATACCTGAACATAGAGAAAGTACAGTAAAAATACTATATAAAAGACAGAAAATGGTACACCTGTGTAGGGGACTTACCATGAATGGAGCTTGTAGGAATGGAAGTTGTTCTTGAGTGAGTGAGTGGTGAGTGAATGTGAAGGCCTAGGACATTCCTGTACACTACTGTAGAATTTATGAACACTGTACACTTAGGCTACACTAAGTTTATTAAAAATGTTTTGTTCTTTCTTCAATAATAAATTAACTTCAGCTTACTGTAACCTTTTTTACTCTATAAACTTTTAAATGTTTGAAAAACTTTTGACTTTTGTAGTAATATTTAGTTTAAAACACACATTGTACAGTTGAACAAAAATTTTTTTATATCCTTATTCTATTTTTTTTTTTTTTAATTTTAAGCCTTTCTGTTAAAAACTAAGGCACAAACACACACATTAGCCGAGGCCTACACAGCATCAGGATCATCAATATCATTGTCTTTCGCCTCCACATCTTGTCCCATGGAAGGTCTTCAGGGGCAGTAACACGCATGGAGCTGTCCTCTCCTATGATAACAATGCCTTCTTTTGGAATACTTCCTGAAGGACCTGCCTGAAGCTATTTTACAGTTAATCTTTTTTTTTTTTTTAATAAGTAGAGTACACTCTAAAATAATGATAAAATGTATAGTAAATATATAAACCAGTAACATAGTTATTGTTACTGGTTTATATATTACATATATATGATAATGTATATTATATACATTATCAAGTATTATGCACTGTAGATAATTATAAGTGCTATACTTTTACATGACTGGCAGGGCAGTAGGCTTGTTACCCAGTGCTACATTAGGACAACTATGATGTCACCAGGTAATCGGAATTTTTCAGCTCCATTATAATCTTATGCGACCATTACTGTATGTCTGTCATTGACTAAAAAGCGGGATAAGGGAATGGGGTGATATAGAAGACAAAGACTTTCCTGAGGAGGTGACTTACTTATAATCAAGTGTCTGAAGAAGTGGTAGGGTATTCTAGGTAGAATCAGGTACTGATTAGAGCAAGAGGCAGTAAAGAGGATGATGAATGAAGATGTTGTGGACTGACTCTAAGTTACTGAAGGCCAATGGAAAGGTTTGGGGGTTGAAGAGGAGTGGGAGCTTGAGGAAGATTATAGCTAAATAGAAATGTTATGCCGGGGTGAAACTATCTCAGCGCAAACAAAGATGCAGGGCAAGACTGAATCGGCCCTGTCAGTTCTTAGTGGGAGGTGGATAATCAGTTCTAACATATTATCTTCTTGGGAACTGGTAGTGGTAAAGTGGAGAATGTTAGGGATGGGGAATGCTAACCAAACCAGAAGCAAATGGAACACACGGAAAATGGTATCTGCTGGGGAGACTAAATAATACATGTAAAGCAATTAACACAGTGGTAATGTGTCAATAAATGGTAGCTATGATTATCCATCTAAGAGTAAAAGTATACTTGTGGCATTTTTCAAACTTTAAGAGTACTGTGTGGAACAAAGGCCAGAGCCTTGTGAAACACAAAGAGAGACTATGCGTGCTGTGCTAACCTTGTCCTCAAGGCCTGTTACTCTGTCACAGGCATAGCATTGACCTGACAGGACTTAGCCTAACCTTCAGAGGGTACCCAATAAGAGTTACCCAGTCACCCACTGGGTCTCTGTCTTCCAGTCATATAGATCACTTGGAGTAGACTGGAAAAGCCAAAAATTGAGGAAGGGTCACAGAATGTGCTGCTCTTGGTAATCAGGCTCCTACCATCTTCATATAAATATATATAAAATCAGGCTGCTTCTATCTTTATATATAAATATATATATTATAATTTATTTATATATTAATATATATCAGGCTTCTATAAATATATATATAAATATCTTTATATATTTATATTTAAAGATACATATAAATATTTAAAGATATTTATAGATATTTCTCTTTTCATAGCTTTATATATTTATATAATATATAAATAATTTATAGATATTTCTCTCTTCATAGCTTTATATATTTATATAATATATAAATATATTTATATAATATATAAATATATTTATAATTCAGATATATTTATATTTTTACACATATAAAGATAGAAGCCTGATTACCAAGGGCAGTAATTTCTGATTTCCACCAACGGTGGATGACTAAAGGATTCCGAAGCTTCCCCTACTCGGGATCCGCAGTAACCTTGTAGTATACTTCTTAGCACGTGGCCAAATGCCCTTGAAGGTCTGTAGCCGTAACACGGTGAACAAGTCTGATAACATGATGAATAAGCCTAAGCTTGTCCATTTCAAGACAAGAACTGTCAATTTTGCCCTTGTATGGAAAACTAGACTTCCCAGCTAGTTGTGACCATCCTGATTTTTGAGGTTTGGGATGAGCTGAGCTATAAATAGTGCAGACATCCAGATGTCAGGCTACAATATCCCCTCCACAACTTGGGGATGGCCAGCTTTGGTTTCAGTGCGTATCAGTAGCAGCCTACAGATGCAAGGTGCTGCACGGTCTGCACGCTCCATACACACTGATGTCTGCTTCCCCAACTGTAACTGCAGGGAAGGCAGAAGAGCTCAGAGGTTGTCAGTGCCACACAGGGTTGGTATTTCATTTTCTTGCTCTAATGTTCCTTCACAAAAAACAAATACATTAATAAGACCTCAACATTTTTTTGGTTGGAATGGTCAGGCCATGCCTGCCTAGCATCATCACTGAAGATCGTTATCAGGCTAACCAAACATTGTTTTCCCAACCTTCCTGGCTGCTCCTACTGCAGTTGAGGAAACTGAAGCTTTTAGTTTTCCTGTTCTCTGGACCAAGGTGATGAATTCCTGGCTTCTTGATCTTTTTTTTGTTTTCATTGTATTTTCAATCTCTGAAATGTTTTCACAGAGGTCTTGCAACCCTACTAACCCAGCATTTTTTTCCCTTTTGTTTTCTCCACACCCTGAAGTAAGTGGCTTCTCAAAAGCACAGACAGCTAGAGCAAGATGAAGCCTCAGGGAATAATTTAGGCCAATCCCTTCCCTTCAGCTTGAGGAGTAAGGGAAATACATGGACATTTACTGGGAAACTATCACTTGCTAGGCATAGAGTCTACTTCTGGCATTTTGCATAATTACCTTATTTAAACCTTAGCTCTGAGAGGTAGATGCTTTATCCTTTTTTAGACAAGGAAACTATGGTACAGAGAAATTAAGTGGCCTATGTGAGATCATACAGTTAGCTAGTGACATAGCTGAGACTCAAACCCAGTGTTTTTGAAGATTAGGCCAGGGTTCTCCCCTCTACCATAATGGCCTGGCTGAGGCCTGCTCACTAGGTCCAGCTTCAGTTAGAAGTGGGCTTAAGGCAAAAGGGCTCTAAGAAAGGTTATATCACAGGGAATTTAATTAAAGGTCAAATTCTGGCAATTGTGATTCAAATTTTATATAGCTTTAATAGAGATATTAGCAGCAGACTATAATATGCTATTTATGGTAAGATGGATTAGGAAAGGTTTTCAGCAGAGAAAACAGTGAAATGGTTAACGTTTTCACAAGAAAAGGGAGTATCCATCCTAAACGGGAAGAACTGGCTTGAATTCAAAGTAATTATATAACTCCTGACTTCAGTCATGGCACTCTCCTAAGTAGGTAAGTGATATTTTCCTGTGACCCTTCCTCAATTTTTGTACACGCACCTATGTATTAAATTTGTTTTGCTGAACTGAAAACTGGTCAACAGTGTTCCTTATTTTATGTACACACTATTTTTGCAGTATACAAAATAAGCTTAAGAACTTTTATATAAGATGATCTGATTCATTAATTCTGAGTCAAAGAATATGTAAGAACAGTTCTGTATGAGATTCTGCATGTGTGTGTTTACGTGTGTGAGAGAGAGAGATACAGATAAAAGAAAGAGGCAGACACATGCATATATTCAAAGATAATGAAACAGAGGCAAGGAGGTAGAATTTGACAAGTTGAGATGGTTAAAGTAGCTGTACTCTTGGTGTACTTAAAGAACGAAGTATTTTAGGCTGGGTGCAGTGGCTCATGCCTGTAATCCCAGCACTTTGGGAGGCTGAGACAGACAGATCACTTGAGGTCAGGAGTTCGAGACCAGCCTCAGCAACATGGTAAAACCCCGTCTCTACTAAAAATACAAAAATTAGCCGGGCTTGGTGGTGTGTGCCTATAATCCCAGCTACTCAGGAGGCTGAGGCAGGAGAATCACTTGAACCCAGGGGATGGAGGTTGCAGTGAGCCAAGATCACGCCATTGCACTCCAGTCAGATGGGTGACAGAATGAGACTCCGTCTCAAAAAAAAAAAAAATATTTTAGAGCCAAGTTTGGATTCCACATTAATTAGCAGTCAAGGTCCTCCAATGAAAATGTGCTTTACTCTCAGCACATTCAGGCTTTCAAAGGTTGTTTTCCTTTAATTGTCCATCACACATTTCCCAAAATCCTAGCAGTGATGCACCTCACCTATTGGTAAATTACAGAAGCAGAATGACACTGCTTTGTTGAAATTAGGGTTTTTTTTGGAGGGTTTTAAAAACCGACTTCAAGTTCAGCTGAGTTATGTTAATACTGCTTGGCTGCGCTAATGACTCTTTCCTACTGCACATTCAAAAGACAAGAGCATTGGCAGGATTTTAGGAAAGCAGTAAGTTTATCCCAGTTCTATTCAGAGAGGATCCCACTGAAACCAAGGAGAGGAGTGACTCTATGCTAGTGTTTCTCAGGCGTTCACATCATATTCATCCAGGGATACTTAAAAGAAATACAGAATCCCTATTCCTAGGGGTTCTGACTCTAAATAGAAACAGAAACTCTATTCCCAGGGATTCTGATTCTAA